AGGGCACCATGCCCAAACCTCCAGCACTTGTTGCAGAGCCGAGGAGAAGGAATGTACTCCTGGACAGAGCACCTGGCACCAGCAAGAATGACAGAGGGTGGAAGGGTCCTACCATCAAAGGTAATCTTCACAACCCGGAGGGGTTGACGGCGACTACCACGAGGGGGACGAGTAAACGTGTCCACCTGGAGAATAGAATGGCCCTGGGCAGCGAGGATATGGCGAATATCGTCGTGGCAGTCGCGCAGGTCCCGAACACCGGTTGCAACATGGGGCGGGAGCAAAATAGTGCCAACACTGGCATTCAATTGAGCGTTCTTCGAGACCCGAACGGGGGTCTCGCCAAGGCAGGATAAGGCAGCCAAGCGGGAAGCAGCATCCTGAGAAGGAGCAGCAACGACACGTGTACCGAGACGAGTGGGGTTGAAAGTAATGGAGGCATCCACGGAATCAATGAGATGTCGATGAAGGGAGAAATCGTCAGGAGGCGCAGAATCAAGAGGGAGGAGATCAAAATATTTGGCCCACGAAGCGGGACCAAACAAGGCTTGATAGGTAGCAGAACTGGAAGGAATCGAGCGAGGGCGGCCGTGACGAGGACGGCGGTGAGAACCCCCAGAGAGAGAGGGGTTAAAAGGCGCAGTAGTTACAACTAGAGAAGGAGCCGCGCCAGGGGACGAGGTAGTCACCACTGGGGGCTTGGGGCTCGACCCAACCACAGAGGAGGGAGGGGAGCCAGGGGAAGGAGTCAGAGAGGCCAAAGGAGGAGCAAGGTCGGGGCCCAATGCAGCGGAGGCTACAGAGCCCGGTCTTCCAATACGGACCGACTCGGGGGCTTGGTCGCCCACCCCACGAGCCTGAAAAGGTAAGCCAGAAGCAGCCGAAACAGGGGTTATCATCTTGACGAAATTAAGAATTCACTCACGAATGTGCCCCCACACCCACCATGGAGCCACAATTAGAGGCAGGACACCCAACAAGAAGCTATCGCCGATCTTGTCGGGGCCTCCTAGGGGTGCGTCGTGAGTATACGCCCCACAAACGCCACCTTAAGAAACCGACAGTCCGTCGAGATCGGGTTCAGTGACGAAGTGGGGATTGACAATAAAAGGTTCCCCTCGCTCTCGACGTCGGGTACTGCAGTTCTACGGGTGCATGAGTATGCCTCCTCAAGCACCCGGGCGTCAAAATAGAAGAAGTCCATGGAAGAACCAGAACGAGCAAAAGGTCGGCAGGAAACGGCAAGCAGATAGGAGAAGAGGGGGGAGAAAAACGAAACAGAAGGAAAAGGAAAAGGTGCCCAGCAGAATTGGAGAGGACGGCAGCAGGAGCACAAGGCTAGAAAAGGACAGAGGACTGTCCTAAGGAGCATCACACTCCAGCAGCCGCCCACGAAGCCCCCACACGGCGACAACGAGCTGAGCGGGGAGGGGGTTGGATGAAAAAACGATTCTTCGCGGCAGGGGATCGTATTCCAGGGACCATAGGATTAAGGACTTGCCCGAAACGCTACGCGTACTAGTGGCTGTACAAGAATGTAACAACTCTTGTATATATCTCAAAAAAAAAAAAAAAAAAAAAAAAAAATGAAGGAGAATTGTGATGCCAGTAGTCTTTAAATCATTGATGGACGCTTATGTTGCAAAGGGCTCTTAGTGGAAGATATTAACAGCTCTGTGCCTTCAAGTTCAAGTATGTTTATTGAGACAAGAAAAAAAATAAATCTCGATGGGATAGAGTAGCTTAGGGTATTTCTTCCCCCCTGGCTCTGTGCCTGACCCAAGCTAAGTATTTTACTTTCATTCTATTGATCCGTTCGTGTTGGTGCGAGTGAAAGGAATCACCGAGGGTAGTAATGAGCCTGCGATCCTCCAATCACTAGTAAGCATACAGTTAGAAAATAATTTAATGAGGACAGAGAGTATGTGGACATAAATTGCATATTTCTTGCATTAAGTACACATTGCAGGCAGGTGGGGTACACAGTTGAGGTGTACCTGGAGGGGCGCTATTACCACGTGACGACGCTAGCCACATGCCGGCGTGTACACAACTGGCTGAGTTATTGATAACCATACGTACGGGACGATGGTAGGAACAGTAACCATATGTACTACCACAATAACCATACATACTACCACAATAACCATACATACTACTACAATAACCATACATACTACCACAATAACCATACATACTACCACAATAACCATACATACTACCACAATAACCATACATACTACCTCAATAACCATACATACTACCACAATAACCATACATACTAACACAATAACGATACACACTAGCACAATAACCATACATACTACCACAATAACCATACATACTACCACAATAACCATACATACTACCACAATAACCATACATACTACTACAATAACCATACATACTACCACAATAACCATACATACTACTACAATAACCATACATACTACCACAATAACCATACATACTACCACAATAACCATATATACTATCACAATAACCATACATACTACCACAATAACCATACATACTACCACAATAACCATACATACTACCACAATAACCATACATACTACCACAATAACCATACATACTACCACAATAACCATACATACTAACACAATAACCATACATACTTCCACAATAACCATACATACTAACACAATAACGATACACACTAGCACAATAACCATACATACTACCACAATAACCATACATACTACCACAATAACCATACATACTAACACAATAACCATACATACTACCACAATAACCATACATACTAACACAATAACCATATATACTACCACAATAACCATACATACTAACACAATAACGATACACACTAGCACAATAACCATACATACTACCACAATAACCATACATACTACCACAATAACCATACATACTAACACAATAACCATACATACTACCACAATAACCATACATACTACCACAATAACCATACATACTACCACAATAACCATACATACTACCACAATAACCATACATACTAACACAATAACCATATATACTATCACAATAACCATACATACTACCACAATAACGATACACACTAGCACAATAACCATACATACTACCACAATAACCATACGTACTAATACAGTTTAAGGAGTCATATTACCAGCTAAGAATGTTATTATAATCTCCATTCAGATAGTACAGGGATTTTCAGTAATTCAGTTAATTCAGCTCACATCAACAATTAACATCATTTTAATTAATAATTACAATGCCTGTTCTATCTTAAATCAAACTGGCACTATAAAAATCCCACTGTGGGGAATGTGTGGAAAATTAAACTCCCTGTGTTATACAGTTATTGATTGTTATTGATTGACAGTTGAGAGGCGGGATCAAAGAGCCAGAGCTCAATCCCCTCAAGCACATCTAGGTAAGTACAACTAGGTAAGTACAGCCCACTCAAACTTAACTTGAATAATACGAATTATTTAAATATACAGTCCACTCACCAGAAATAAAATATAAATATAAACTTAGCAACATAATCCCACAGGCCAGAGTTGCATTTAATCTTTCAAAGACACATTAATTACATTATTTAAGAAACAAAGGTAGTGAACTGCTTATGCAGGACAGACGTAATAAATGTTTTTTATGTATGTAGGTTAGATTACCATTTTAAAAATACTACAATCACCTTCTGTGATTGATTGTTCAATAAAACACTGAACTAAATGTTTAACAGATCTCTAACCCTGTCTATAGAGGACAGAAGTCAATTTATATATCTTGAGGTTATCTTGAGATGATTTCGGGGATTTTTAGTGTCCCCGCGGCCCGGTCCTCGACCAGGCCTCCACCCCCAGGAAGCAGCCCGTGACAGCTGACTAACACCCAGGTACCTATTTAACTACTAGGTAACAGGGGCATAGGGTGAAAGAAACTCTGCCCATTGTTTCTCGCCGGCACCTGGGATCGAACCCAGGACCACAGGATCACAAGTCCAGCGTGCTGTCCGCTCGGCCGACCGGCTCCCCATGCTGGTTAACATTGTGAATGTCTGGCTACGTCTATGGTAGAAAACAAAAACAATTTCCTCTCCTCTCCCTATTCTCCACCTTTCTCTCCCCACACTCCCCAACTTTCCCCTTCTGTTTATTTCGCAAATCTTCTTCCCTCTTGTCTCCACCCTCTCTCAATGTCTCTTTCCATCTGTCTCCCTCGTATTTCCTTCCCTTTCTTCAAATATCACCTCTCCGCCTTCTCCCTTTCACTTTTAAAACGTCCCCTCTCCCCCGTCTCTTTCCTTTTCTCTCCCCCATCCCCCACTCTCTTTTTTTTTCCCCATAAAAATTTCATAATGAATCAAATAGCTGAATAAGTGTATGGACAACAATACCAATATACCAGACTTGACTTGTTGAATATCGCCCGAAGTGTGGGAGGAAGGGAAAAGATGTCGATATTTCTTAAATTGTGGAACTGTGGCCGACCCCGACTGACCTATAACACTCCTCTTCCCCATATGCTTCATGTGTCAAAGTTTGGTGAGGCCAGCCGCAAGCATCTGTCCTCCAACATAGACATAACTGGACGATAGAAGGAATAAATACATTCTTGGGAGGTACACCTCTGTTACGAGTGAACAAGTATGTTAAGAGGAGTAGAAAGTGTTCCAAGGAAATCACATATATGGTGAGCAAAAGGCTTGGGCAGAGGAGTATACACTTTGGAAGAGTTTATTTGTTAGGAATACACGGACACATGCAGAGATTATACCTGAAGAGAGGCGGTTGTCTGTTTGAGTTAATGTGAAGATCATTATGCGCCTGGGCAAGGGGATAATTCGCCTGGATGAAGGTATTATGTACTTAGTGCCTGGGATTATATACTTGTAGGAGAGAATTATATGCTAAGGCAGAAGATAATTTATTGTTAGGAGACATCATTATATACTCGGCAGAGAGGAATATGTGCCTGGGAGATAAGAATATGTGTTGGAAGAGAAAAACATGTGTTTGGAAGAGAAGAATATGTGTTTGGAAGAGAAGAATATGTGCTTGGGAGAGAAGAATATCTTCATGGGAGAGTGCGAATATGTGCTTGAAAGAGAAGAATGTGTGCTTTTGATTGAGGAATATGTGATGGAAGAGAAGAATATGTGCTTGGAAGACAGAAATATGTTCTTAGCATTGAGGAATATGTGCTTGGAGGAAATGTATTTATGCTTGGAAGAGAGGAAGATGTGCTTGGAAGAGAAAAATATGTGCTTGGAAGAGAAGAATATATGCGTGGAAGAGAAAAATATGTGCTTGGAAGAGAAGAATATATGCTTGGAAGAGAAAAATATGTGCTTGGAAGAGAAAAATATGTGCTTGGAAGAGAAGAATATATGCGTGGAAGAGAAAAATATGTGCTTGGAAGAGAAGAATATATGCTTGGAAGAGAAAAATATGTGCTTGGAAGAGAAGAATATATGCGTGGAAGAGAAAAATATGTGCTTGGAAGAGAAGAATATATGCTTGGAAGAGAAAAATATGTGCTTGGAAGAGAAGAATATATGCGTGGAAGAGAAAAATATGTGCTTGGAAGAGAAGAATATGTGCTTGGAAGAGAAGAATATGTGCTTGGAAGAGAAGAATATGTGCTTGGAAGAGAAGAATATGTGTTTGGAAGAGAAGAATATGTGCTTGGAAGAGAAGAATATATGCTTGGAAGAGAAAAATATGTGCTTGGAAGAGAAGAATATATGCGTGGAAGAGAAAAATATGTGCTTGGAAGAGAAGAATATGTGCTTGGAAGAGAAAAATATTTGCTTGGAAGAGAAGAATATTTTATTTATTTATTTATTTATTTATTTATTTATTTATTTATTTATATTCAAGAAGGTACAATGGGTTTGTGGGGATAAATAGCATGGTGTTAACATTCTTGTAAAGCCACTAGTACGCTCAACGTTTCGGGCAAGTCCTTAATCTAACAAATAATTTTAAGTAGGTAAATTCCAGCAGAATTAATAAAATTATAACAGATACATTGCAAGGAAAAAATGAGAGGAGAGAGATTAGTAGGTATATTAAGGCACATCGGTAGCTCTGCTTGATTGCGTTGACAGCTTGATTGGTAATTTAAACAAAGATTAATAGGCACCATACAGCAAATTGATAGCACACATAAGAAGACAACAATGATCACAATGGTAAGGTTGTTTGGATTAGGTACATAAAGATTGGGAGATTGGGTAGAACTAGATACAGTGCAATTTTAAAGCAACAAGGTAGGACACTTTGAAGATGAAATTAAGTACTTTTTAGTTTTGTTTTTGAATGACGCAAAAGTTGGACAGCTTTTCAATTCATTTGGGAGTGAGTTCCATAGACTAGGTCCCTTTATATGCATAGAGTGTTTACACAGATTAAGTTTGACTCTGGCGATATCAAAGAGATATTTATTTCTGGTGTGGTGATAATGAGTCCAATTACATCTGTCCAGGGAGAGTTTCAGAGCAGGGTTTTTATTTTGAACAGGGTTTTGTAAATGTAATTGACACAAGAGAATGTGTAGAATGACTTTATGTTTAACATGTTTAAGGATTTAAACAAGGGGGCTGAGTGTTGTCTGAAAGCAGAATTTGTTATTATTATTCTGATAGCAGATTTTTCCTGGGTGATGATGGACCTGAGGTGATTTGAAATGGTTGAACCCCATGCACAGATACCATAATTAAGATAGGGGATAGATTAGTGCATAATATAGTGATATGAGAGCAGAGTTAGGGACTTAATAACTGATTTTGGAGATTGTACCAACTGTTTTAGAGACTTTCTTAGTTATGTGTTGTATGTGGGTGCTGAAGTTGAGTCTCTTGTCTAGGAATAGGCTAAGAAACTTTCCATTATTTTTATTACTGATGTTAACATTGTTTGTCTGAAGCTGAATTGCATTTGTTGATTTGCTTCTAAATAAGATGTAGTAGGTCGTTTCTATGTTAAGTGTTAGTTTGTTGGTTGACATCCATAAGTGGACTTTTTTATTTCATTATTAACAACATTATTTAGTGTGTGTTTGGGTTGGGGTTTGAGTTGGTGAGTAGTGTTTGCTTGGAAGAGAAGAATATGTGCTTAGAAGAGAGGAATATATGCTTGGTAGAGAAGAATATGTGCTTGGAATAGAAGAATGTGTTTAGAAGAGAGGAATATGTGCTTGGAAGAGAAGAATATGTGCTTGGAAGAGAAGAATATGTGCTTGGAAGAGAAGAATATATGCTTGGAAGAGAAGAATATGTGTTTGGAAGAGAAGAATATATGCTTGGAAGAGAAGAATATATGCTTGGAAGAAAAGAATATGTGTTTGGAAGTGAAGAATATGTGCTTGGAAGAGAAGAATATATACTTGGAAGAGAAGAATATATGCTTGAAAGAGCAGAATATGTGCTTGGGAGAGAGAAATATGTTCCTTGAAGAAAATAAATATGTGCTTGAAAGAGAGGAATATGTGCTTGAAAGATAAGAATACGTGCTTGGAAGAGAGGAATATGTGCTTCGAATATCTCCTTGAGGTAGTGTTATGTTGGTGACGGGAAGCTGTGTTATCATGCTGGTGATTGGTGGCAGTGTTATCATGCTGGTGATTGGTGGCAGAGTTATCATGCTGGTGACTGGAAGCTGTGTTGTCATGCTGGTGATTGGTGGCAGTGTTGTTATACTGGTGACTGGACGCTGTGTTATCTTGCTGGTGATTGATGGCAGTGCTATCATGTTGGTGACTGGAAGCTGTGTTATCATGCTAGTGATTGGTGGCAGTGTAATCATGCTGGTGACTGGAAGCTGTGTTATCATGCTGGTGATTAGTGGCAGTGTTATCATGCTGGTGATTGGTAGATGTGTTATCATACTGGTGATTGGTAGCTGTGTTATAATGATGGTGATTCGTAGCTATGTTATCATGCTGATGATTGGTGGCAGTGTTATCTTGCTGGTGATTGGTAGTTGAGTTATCATGCTAGAGACTGATGGCAGCGTTGTCGTGTTGGTAATTAGGAGTTGTGTTATCCTGCTGGTGATTGGAAGCTTTGTTATCATGAAGGTGATTGTTAGCAATGTTATCATGTTGGTGATTTGTGACAATATTGTCGTGCTGGTGATTGGTAGCAGAGTTATCATGCTGCTGATTGGTGGTAGTGTTATCATGCTGGTGACTGGTAGTAGCACTAATCATGCTGGTGATTGTAAGTTGTGTTGTCATTATGGAGACTGATAGGTGTGTTATAATGCCGGTGATTGGTGGCAGTGCTATCATGCCGGAGAATTGTGGCAATGTTATCATGGTAGTGACTGGTATCTGTGTTATTATGCTGGATATTGGTGGCTTTTATATCGTTTTGGTGATTGGTTGTTGCGTTATCATGCTGGTGATTGGTGTTTGTGTTAATATGCTGGTGACTGCTAGCTCTGCTAGCTGTATTATCGTGCTGGAGATTGGTGGCAGTGTTATCATGCTGGTGACTGGAGGCAGTGTTATCATATGTGGGTGACTGGTAGTTGTGTTTTCATGCTGGTGATTGGTGGCAATATTATCGTACTGGTGCTTGGTGACAGTGATATCATGCTGGTGATTAATAACTTGTCATCATGCTGGTGATTAGTGGCAGTGTTATCATTCTGGTGACTGCTAGCTGTATTATAATACTGGTGATTGTTGGCAGTGTTATCATGCTGGTGATTGGTAGCTGTGTTATCATTCTGGAGATTGGTAGCTGTGTTATCATTGTCGGAAATCTGACACTAACATAGTAGATTACTAACACACAATATAATCAGCAAACCTGGTTATACTAGTTACATTAGTCTTAAAAGGATTATAGAGAATTTGAAATCCGTGACGTTATCAACCCATATATTTAGGTTCATCAAATATCCTTAAACTAACAGTCTAATGATTAAACCTAATAAAGAAGGTATTCGCTATGACTGGATCGAATATAATTATCAATAAAACTAGAGTCTACCTCTCTAATTCAATAAGTCAGAAATAGAACCATACTTCTGAAGATGCTTTGGAGGAGGAAGGCTGGCTACTCATTGTATGTAAACAGAAAGAGAGGTTTCCTTTGAGGTTTGATACGCAACCCATCCTCGACTCAAGTCCATTCCATCCAGCGGTCGACCCCACAGATGCATTCATTAATTTTTACATGCTGTTCATTGAAAACAAGAATTTTCTCAAATATAAATTAATATATGTAATGTATTAGCATATTGTGCAGATATAGGCATAGGTTAAATTAGGTTAGGTGTTTAGGTTCTGATGGCAATTATTTATATATGTAGTACGTGGATGAAGCATTTAAAGCATTGTGGTTCGAACAAAATTCGTCATTGAAGCGCTAGTTCCGGAAGTGTTCGAACGAAATCAGTTGTGAGTCGTGTATAAACCGTTTTTCATTCATATCAGGTGGTTTGGTGAGTGCACGGAATCACTGTTGGGTCTTTGTTTTGAGGACAGACTTCAATACGCCTCACTTCAAAGACTCTAAATTAGAAGTCGACCAACAGTGAAAACTGCCACAACGACCTCACTAACTTCAGGAGTACCTTTATATGTAGTGTTATGGGGGCAGGTGGTTGTAGTGAGAAGGCCAATAACTAAAGCCAAAGGAGTTCCTAAAATAATGGAGATTAGGTAGGCCTGGCCCTCAGGGAAGAATATTCCCAGCAATGAATACTTGTTTAACTAGAATAAAAGTCTGCCGTCTAAGGTTAATCACCTACTCCTCTCCAAACAGAATGAAAAGATACTCCTAGCTTTATCCTTATTTATTAAACCCTCTACACAACCCCCACAAATACAGAATCCAATAAATCCCTTTAACACTCTACCTTACGTTAAACTCCTTGGTCCACATAAGCAGGATACAAGGTTTACAACTGCAAACTAGGGTAAAGATTACTTTCCTGAAGGGACACTAGCATCTTAGGTATCACAGACTTAAGCACATGTGGTCTCTCTGGCCACCCTAGATTAACACTTAGGGTCCAAAAACACTGCCTTAGAGAACACCAGTAAATACATTCAAAACCCTAATCAAGGGTACGGTAATACTATAATAAGGTACTTAACTGGGTATAACAGAAATATAGAATAAGGTAAGGGAAGAGAGGAGGAGAAGGAGGAACAGCCCACAAGGACGTAAGACCGCCTGGTACCACAGCTAGCCAGAGAAGGAGGAACAAAAGTTCTCTGGAGTGCTCCCAAGACTGCTGCCGGGATGATACTAACTGATCGTACCGCCACAATCATTATAATTCTTCACAGACATTCATTACTAGTTACATTAACAATTCTAAGAATAGCTGATATCTAGTTCAATATTATATTTAATAATCAACAAATACAGTTTGCCTGCTCTGTGAGTAACAGGATTCGTCTAACGTCTGGCAAGAGAGACGGAAACAAATCCATATCCAGGATTTAAGGAAACATGAATGTAAATGTTATTGTTATTAAATATCCTTCTCACATGATCCAATCCTATCAATTAAAGTATAAATATTAATCATGTTGTAATAATAATAATAATAATAATATTATTATTATTATTCATTTAGTAATAATGAGTAATGAATTGAGCTCTGGCTCTTTGGTCCCGCCTCTCAACTGTCAATCAACTGGTGTACAGATTCCTGAGCCTATTGGGCTCTATCATATCTACATTTGAAACTGTGTATGGAATCTGCCTCCACCACAACACTACTTAATGCATTCCATTTGTCTACTACTCTGACACTGAAAAAATGCTTTCTAACGTCTCTGAGGCTCATCTGGGTACTAAGTTTCCACCTGTGTCCCCTTGTTCGTGTTCCACCCGCGCTAAAGAGTTTGTCTTTGTCCTCCCTGTCAATTCCCCTGAGAATTTTGTAGGTGGTTATCATGTCTCCCCTTACTTTTCTGTTTTCCAGGGTTGTGAGGTTCAGCTCCCTTAGCCTTTCCTCGTAACTCCTTCCTCTCAGTTCCGGGACCATTCTGGTGGCCTACCACTGAATCTTCTCTAACTTCGTCTTGTGTTTAACTAGGTATAGTTAATGTTATTAACTAGGTATAGTTAATAGTTGTGTTAACATGTCGGTGATTGGTAGCTTTGTTATCGTGAAGGTGATTGTGAAGATATAATTCACTGTATTATCATCTGGTGATTGGTAGCTGTGTTATCATGTTGGTGATTGGTGGCAGTGTTATCATGCTAGTGACTGGTACCAACAATAATCCTGCTGGTGATTATTAGTTGTGTTATCGTTATGGAGACTGATATGTGTGTTTTCATGCTGGTGATTGGTGGCAGTGTTATCGTGCCGGTGAATGGAAGCAGTTATCATGCCAGTGATTGGCAGCTGTGTTATTATGCTGGCATTTGGTGGCAGTGTTACCATGCTGGTGATAAATGATAGTGATATCATGCTGTTGATATGTAGCTGAGTTAACTCAGCTACATATTCTCACAGCTACTCAGTCATGGTGGTAACTGATAGCTATATTATCATGCAGATGATTAATAGCAGTGTTGTGATGCTGGTGGGTGGTAGCTGTGTTATCATGCTGCTGATTGGTGGCAATGTTATCATGCTGGTGGTCGGTGGCAGTGTTGTCATGCTGGTGATTAGTGGCAATGAAGTCGTTCTGGTGATTGGTAGTTGCGTTATCATAATGGTCATTTGTGGAAGTGTTATCATGCTGGTGATTTATAGTTATGTTATCATGCTGAAGATTGGTGGCGATTTTGTCGTGTTGGTGATTAGTAGTTGTATTATCGCATTTAAATTCAAATTCAAAATTAAAATGTTTCTTCAGGTAAAGTACATACATAAAAGGTGTGATACAAATATTGATGAATTTATAGATAAGAGCTCTTACATACAATGCCTAAAGCCACTATTACGCAAAGCGTTTCGGGCAGGAAAAACACTAAAGACTAAAACTTAATACTAATTGAGATTAAAGTATAAAATGTGTTGAGAAAATATAAAAATAAAAAAGGGGGAACATGGCAGAAAAACAGCAAAAAACGATTTGGTCGACAAACAACATTGTTTAAAAAAATAGCAGAAATGGGTTGATATTATAGGGGTAAGGTTGGTTACAAGGAGTTAATTAGGTAGTTCTTAGTTTTTATCTTAAACTGGTTGAGAGAGGTACAGTCTTTAACATGATTGGGAAGGTCATTCCACATTCTAGGGCCCTTGATTTGTAGAGCATTTCTAGTTTGAGTAAGTCGTACTCTTGGAATATCAAATAGGTATTTATTTATGGTGTGGGTTCTGTTACAACCTTCAATGAAGATTTTAAAGTCAGGATTGACATTACAGTTCAGCGTTTTATATATATATATATATATATATATATATATATATATATATATATATATATATATATATATATATATATATATATATATATATATATTCTAGCTGAACTCGCCACGCGTTGCTGTGGCTCTGTCTGGTTAAATGGAAAAG